CCTCCTCCCTTGTGTACGTGTGTGTGTGTGTGTGTAAAACAATAATAAACAAAGAAGAATAATCTATCAGTTTGAAAGGGAGTGAGGGGAAGATGTGGGAAGAAGGAGGAAAGGGGACTGAGAGAATTATTTATATTTTAATTTAAAATATATTTTTGAAATTAAATTAAGAAGTAAAAAATGTAAAAAAAATCTGAAGAGAGATACATATGTGAGAAAAGGGAATTGCCTACAGTGGACTTTGTGCTGAAGAGAAGTCCTGCGTGTCAGTGTGAGCTGAGGAGAAGTTCTGTATGCCAGTGTGAGCTGAGAAGTCCTGTATGCTATTGTGAATTGTGGAGGAACCCTACATACCAGTGTGAACTGTGGAGAGGTCCTGTTTGCCAGTGTGAACTGGGAATAACAAGAATTGCAGAGCAAGGATAAAATTATCTGCAGGGATATAGTCCCAGTGCAATCAATCACTACTGATGAGACAATTTTCAAGAGAATAAATTGGCATAATGAAAAATTCAACACCTAAGGAGTTCATGGACAAGACAAATGGTTGAAAGGCAAGGTTTAAGGAAGACCAAATTCAGTGCTAAAAACTGATTCTTATATTGTGCTGGCTTCATGGCATTGTAACCTGGATCTCTTCCTGAAGCATCTCTGCCTATGTATCTAATTGCAAGATGGATTGAGTTACATCTTTAATGTTCACAACACTGTTTGAAGATATCCTGTGTTTTACAGCAACTTATTATATATTCTTACATAAAATATAACATCTAAATTCAGTATACTGGGGCTAAAAATTGTAAGCTGAAGGGTCCGTGTTAGGGCTTAATAAAACTCCAATAACGCTGTGATGTCAGCTTTGCTAAGTTAGGTTTTATGTGTTTGCAGAATATACTGACCTTAGTAATTTTTACTTTTTCCATTTAGAGCTCTGGTGCCAGGAATGAGTCAGGGAAGCCATGATGTTCTAATTGCACACTGTACTCTGAATGTGGGAATGGCCTTTTGAAGTTAAAAAGGCCTAGGTAGAAGACACGCACCCTGTGAGCAGGCTCTCAGGCTAGTCACCAGCTTTCTTAGATAGGATTTATACTGCTGTGGAAAGCCCCATGACCATGGCAACTCTTGTAAAGGAAAACACTTAATTGTGGCGGCGGCTTACAGTTTCAGAGGTTCAGTCCATTGTCATCATGGCAGGAATATGAGTGTGCAGGCAGACATGGTGCTGGAGAAGGAGCTGCTACATGTCGCTATGCAGGAAACAGGAAGAAGACTGGAATACCGGGAAGCATCTCGATTATGGAAGACCTCAATATTTCTTTCACTAGAATTAGAACTTTACTACCAAGTAGGGAATGAGCTTCTTATTGGTTTACATACCAGGGAGAAAGAAACTCTTACTGAGGAAAAGGACAATGGATGGCACTACAGTTTAAAAACAATGTTCCCAACTTAGAGATTTCTGGGCTAGGTACTCAGATCAACAGAGTCATTTCCTACAGTTGGAAAGGCTCATAAACCAGGTAGTGTCTGGGCTCATATCCCCATTCTTCTGCATCACGTATTTTCTCTAAATCCCAGTCTTCTCAGATAAAATATGGACTGCACAGTATGTCTATAAATTTAAACATGACATTAAATGAAAAGCAACAGAAAGAATAATGTGAGGATAAGCCACAAGTGATGTAAAAACTATGGGATTTGCGTTGGGTATTCATCACTTTCTGCCCATACTGAGCAGGACACCATGAGCTGTTTATACCCCTTGTCAACAGTGGTCTCAGAAGCTGACACATGGGATCAAGAACCATCCCATGGAAGGAGAAAAGATGACTTCCTGGGACCTTGAAGGGAACAGGAACCAGCAGAGACAGGAGCCAAGTTTAACACATGTCACATTATTCTGTCCAGTCAGGGGAACCATAGATGTGGTTCCTGAAGACACTGTGGCACCCAGGAACCATCACCCTTCAGCACTGTCTACAACTCTGAGCCTGGCACTGAGTGACTGCCCTTCTGTGCTTGTGGTCTGTTTCTGCTTCTTCAGTTCAGATTAGAGGGCGTTGTATGACCAAGTTTGATGGTCAGCATTCTGTGTGAGCGGAGTAAACTGAGGTAAAAAATCAAGATCACTGTCCAAATAGATGGGGATGATTGAAAACTTCAATGACATGAAGGGAGGCAAGGAGGCCAACCTTGGATAGCTGCTCTTGGCCTCCCCAGGCCATGTCCTGATGCCTTCTGATGGAATTCATGCAGTAACCCTGACAAGTCAGGGAGCAGGACAAGGCAGTCTTTTCTCCCTCCCTCCTTCCTCTTGGACTAGTCAATGGAGACTCTGATGGAAACATTAAAAGGAATTGCAACAATTCTCCTTTTGATGTTTTGTTTTTCTTTCCCTCCTTTTGAAACATCGTTTTGTGTCCAACTGTTTCACTAGTTTGTGCTCTCAGTAGGACCATGACTCAGTCCCACAGCCTCTTGTTCTGATGCTGACCAATATGAGTTTGAAGGCAATGACCTTAATTTTATCACTATGAAAGGCAGTACTGATATAAAACCTTTTTCTAGGTTGTTCCAAGGAATAAATTAAATACTTATGGAACTCATCACTCAGATTATGATCTTTGTATTACTTCCTAAATTACACTTTCACTCCTGGATATGGTCTAAGCCACAATCAAGCACCACACTTCATAGGGAACAGATGGGTAATAAGCACTTCTTAGAGGGGGGAAAGACACAAAGGGAACATGAGAAACACAAACAAAGGAAGACGTTCATCATTTTGGTCTTGAACTGGAGACACGATCTAGAGGAAAATCTTAGGCCAGTGTATAGGGCATGAATAAGAAGAAATGGTATGCAGTGTCAGTCAAACGACAGGACTGTGTAAAACATGAAGTAGAATACCCGTGCCACTACCAAAAGTGAGATACTCAGAAGCATCTGCAGTGTATGCTGGGAGGAAAGATGGTGAGCAGTGGAAATTCAGACTTAGGAAGCTCCCATTTAGTTAAATAAAGCTGCACGAATATATAAAAAACATTCAAAGTTAGAGGAAGTCTGTTTCTCAGTTATTACTGTTATGTCACCCAGAAGTCAGGGTCAATCATTGTCCAACAAGCTGAAAAGGGTGACCATACTGAGCAGGGACATTGGTCTCATGTACTCCCTCCAGGAGGGCTTGCACCTCAAGCCTGTCAGGACAAACATTTCTAGCATACAAAACCTGGCACAGTCAGGGCCAACACAGCCCCTGTACTGGATCCTTCATTTTCAGAAGACCTACTGGTTTTGATGTAATCATCAAAGGCTAATGGAAAAAAACTAATATTATTTCATTGTTTAAAGGAAAATTAGGGGACATCTGGAATTAACTTTGAATGGGAAAGACACTGACTTCATGGACAAAGTAGAGAAAGAATGAAGTCCAGGAGGAGGAGCTCAACATCGGGAGGAGGTTGAGGACACAGGCCACTGAGGCACCCTCTGAAAACCAAGCATTTCTTTTTGCTATGCTCATGGCATGCTTTGACAGATTTTAATTCTAGAGGGAAATGGGCTGGAACAAAATTTTACAATTAGATGAATTGGCCTGGAGCCTTGGCTATCACTAAAAGTATCTGAAGAAAAAAAAGTGACTTAATTTGTGACCCTACATTCAAAGACAGCAGATAAAATACAGGGTGTCAAATATCAAAAAAGCAGCAAATTATGTGTCAGTGTAATACAATAATAATATGTAAAACTACGACTCTTAATTAATTAAAAATTGATATATGATTTTCTCCCTTCAAACCCTCCTATCTACAACCCAACCTGCTCTCTCATATACATGGCCTTTTTTCTTAATTGTTGATACATACACACATATATGTCAACATACACTCATTAGGATATATGTGTGTGCATGTGTGTGTCCATTGTTCTCTGTAATTTGATTAGTTGTGGTTTTCTGTAATGGTTGTGTAAGACATCTATAGCATACATGAGATCCAATTTTAACTAGGTGTCTTGTGTATTTTGAATAACTGGAATCCATGTTTGAGATGGATTAATATTTAATAGTAGAGATAGGAATACTGACACATATAGTGGTGTGGGCACTGATAGCAGAGCGAATAACTTCTAAAAACTACTCTAAACAGTAACTATGAACATGTTTCTGTTTTATTTTGAGAATAAGGATCATGTTGTGTACATTTTCATAGTCCCATTGTCTTGCACATTTGATTCGGATTAATTTCTGTTATAGTATAAAATGAAATAAAAACAAAGGATTTCAATAATAAAACTTACCAACAGGCAACTAATTTATGCAGCTCATGCATCTGAATGAAGTCTATGTCCTCTATATTGACCCTACTGCACCAGCACAGCTAGTTTGCTTGTTAGGGATGGATGACCATGCATGTATATACAGCTATGTACAGGGTTTCTGGTGTGTGTTTGGTGCTATCTTGTTTGTTTGCTTAGAAACAGTCTCCCTATGCAGATTATGATGATCTCAAACTTGTGATTCTCCTGCCTCAGCCTGCAGAGGGCTGGGATTATAGTCATGCACCAGCCTACTGGATATACAATTATTTCTAATCTATCCAACTATAGATGGACATATATGGCTATTGTAAATAATATTGTAATGTATACAAACTTGTAGATATTTCTTCAAGATACTTATTTCAACATGCTGGATGGATCATACTGAAATTCAGTATATACACTGGAGTAAGTTCATTCTAGAAGCCAGGCACACAACATGGTGCCATTAGCTAGTAATGCAGTACACTATGCTTAAAATATAAGAGTGGGTCTCTTGTTGAGTGTTTTTGCTACAATAAATAAACAAACAAATGAAAATAACACAGAGAAAGGTTGTGTTGATGTTATCACAGAGAGACACATCAAAATATAACAAACAAATGTATACCATTTCATTAAATTGCAGCAAAGTTTTAAAAATACTTAAGCTATTCAAAAGCATTTAATTTAGGACACTTGCCTTGAATAACAACCTCTATTTACCCTGACTCCTGAGATGGCCAGAAGGAGGGGATGTTCCTGTGGCTTGTTTCCCAAAACGTCCTTGGGAAAGGCAGATTCCTGGCATCTGATGCTGACATTTGCTTTCTGTGCTGACTTCTGGTGGCCAGCAGATAGCTCAGCAAAAGAGCATCAGACATGGAATACTTCCCCTGGAAGAGAGGTTCACATGCTTCAAACAGAGCAGAAAGAAGGCAGAGAGAAGATTAAGTGAAATTGCATGAATTTACACAAATATGAAAATACCTGGCCATGCACGATGTAACTTAGCCCATGATAATGGCAAGTTTTGCCCTACACTCAGGAGGCCCATTGTTATTTTCTAGAAAACAGGAAGAGAAATGGACATTGAGATCTAAGTCATATTATTTGCATAATCTGAATTTTCAGTCTAATGAGTGTATCTAATGACAGCAAAGTAACAAAGTCCAGGAAGAGAGATGTACTTATTCCAGGAAGCCTCACCAGTTTTTATGAAACTCAGTTCGGATGTGACTCCCTGGACCTTATAGACTGGGCAACCCCATCCTTTGGGTTTCCACCTGAGGTCCTCCTTACCAGGATCATTCTTCTATAGGCAGAGCAGTCAGGGTGAAGAGAGAAAAGACTGTGGATCACATCAGCCATATTGTTCTGGTTTCAGCATGCAGTTCTTAAATACGGCTTCTCGTCTCTACTAAAAGAAAATCACATCACAGTAGATGAGATATAGGGTTACATGTATGTGCCTAACATTTTCCTTGAGTGCTAGAAACTAGAACAGAGAACCTTTGGGAAACTGTTTTGGAATGACAGTCCTAAAACATAAATTATCTCTCCTCCCTGATTAATAATCTACCAAGTTAAAAACTGCAATGACTGCATTTGAATTTATTCAAAAGCGGCCTAACTTCCTTTGATGATTCCCCCTCCCTTTTTCCCTGGAATCACCCGAGCACCTCCTGTGGTGTTGAGGGTGTGGCTGGTGTGGCCTAGGGAGCAGGAGAAATATGCACATGCTATCAGTTTTACAAAGCCTTGCTCTCACTGGTGAAATCTGAGCATATCTCAGCTCTTGGCTGTCCATGCTCACACATTCACAAAGAAGGGCAGGAGACTGGTGGAAGGGGATCAAGTCTTTGTAGTCTGTGCCTACAAAGACAGACCTGGGAGGCCTGTCAGATGTCTCCAAGACTCGCCTCTCCAGGCACATACATTAAAGTTAATTCACCCACAATTTCTTCCAAAGCAATGATGGCAAGTATTATGCCCCTACCCCTGCTTGTGTGCAAGCCATTCCACACTGAACTTTTGTGTCAGGCTCCTCTGCTACGCTCCAAGTTCACATATCCAACTTCCCTGTTGGAAGTCTTCCTGAGAGGCATGGACTTGCCAAGGACAACAAGTCCCAAACTGAGTCCGTAGTCTCTCTTCCCCATTCTGACTGGATCCCCTCCCACTTATCAAACTTAAACCATTCCAGGTGGACCAACGAATAAAGAGCCTCAGCCCCCAGGAGAAGCTGGCTTCATCTGTGGGCATCCAGTACCTCTTTCAAACTCCTGGCCCTGTGTTCCAAGAAGATGCACTTACAAGCCACAGGGCCCTGGCCCAAAGAGGCAAATGTCACAAGGAATTCAAGAACGTTGTTGTTTGCCAAATACTGGACATACGATCATTCTCCATCCACAGGCATTTGGGTTGTCCCCCAGTTTTCCTGTACCGTTAATGCTACATTTCACATTAGCACTGCTGTGAGCATGGGATTTAATAACAGGTGTTTCTATTTGCCCTTTTAAATGGACCACTTTCCTCTGCTCCTTCATCTTATTCCTGGTGCCTCTATGGGACACTGACTGCTACAGACACCACCCAGTTAGATGGATGACCCCTAAGCTTGGCATAATTGGTTTAGAAAGAGTTCTCATAGCAATTGGCCTTCACTGAAAGCTGAAGGCAGATTTACCAGTATCAGTTCCTCCAAGGGGTATCTTGAGAGTGTCCTGGATAGTGATGACATCAGAGAAAGCTTCTTACTCCTAGAATAACTAGCCCAAACTGTGTCAGCCTTTGGGGGAATTATTGGACATGAGACATTGTCAGGAACTCAGCATTTATTTTCCTTTTCCATCTGTGTTATGTATATCATGAATGTACACATCCATGAGGGGGGGAAGAAAAGACAAACATTTGAGCCTTCAAATTACAGTTAGCTTGGAAGTAATTTGTGTGGCTGTATACAGCTTAAAGACTTCAGCATCATGATGTATGAATATTCTTGGTCACAGTAGGAATCACCACCCCCCAAGCACGAAAAACACTTTTAGTTATCTTTAAATTGTGATCAATGTGCACATTTGTAATGATTTTCTGGCCTTTCTCAATGATAATTTGTGTTGTGAGTTAAGAGCTGAAGAAATGATACTGAAATTTGGATGTTACAATATATTTTACTAACTGCATTGCTCAAGGGAATAGCTAGGATTTTTAAAGTGAATGATAAAATTCTCACTTATTTGTATGCCTATCACTTTTAAAGAAATCATCTAAATATATACCACTGATGTCCACCTGTGATAAAAGTGGTCTTTATAATTAGTACTGAACAAAGACAAAAGCATTTAACAATGGGTTTTTCAAATGTACCAAGCATTTGCAAGGGATATGACTATTTACAGTTTTTTCCCCTCCTAACTTTGTAGCAGCAAAATAAATGCGGATGAACCTCAGAAGCCTGAGGCAACATTGATTGTTTCACAAGAAAATCTGTGTGCACAGCGTCCCCCGGGGCCACACCATGTGTAAATAATAACATGCAGCTATGTTTAGACATTGAAATGCTTCCATGTGTAACAGTGCTGGGGGGGCTTCCTCTGAAAGTGGAACACTGGGCAAGGCATCTTTTCCTACCCAAAACTGTTCCAGGTGCTGGGGACAGATTTTAAAGTTAAATCATTGAACATGTGCGAGTGAAAAACTTGTGGAGAAAGACAACACATTGAGATGAATTTTCATTCGTCTTCCGGTAGACTGTTCTAGGATTCAGACCCTACCCTTGCTTGGCAATGGGCTCGCAAAGGCAGCACAAGCCAAATAAATGCATAAAGGTATTTCCCCTGTGGCCCCCAGCAAAGCCTTTCTTTGTTTTCCATCTTTTGAGGCCTGCTCCCTTCCGTTACTCCTCTTTCTCTTCCCCTTCCTCCCCCTTTCCTCTTTCTTCCTGCTTCTCCCTCTTCTTCTCTCTTATGCCCCATTTCCATCCCCATCATTGTCTGTCTTTGTGTATAACAGCTCTGTGTTTATTTGCATTAGTGTATCAGCTCTCTCTCTCTCTCTCTCTCTCTCTCTCTCTCTCTGTCTCTCTCTCTCTCATCTGTCTCTCTCCCCCTCCCTCCCTCTTTTCCTCCCTCCTTGTTATAGGAAGATGTGAGACTAAATATGAAAACAGAAAATGTCTGGAAGTATATAAAAATAGAATTTTCACCCACAGTCTTTGATGGCCAACCCCGGTCAGTCCGTTCTCTGCAGAAACCTGTATCGGATGGATGCCTGTCATTTTTGCAGGCAGTGAGAGCAATGTTTCCAACGACCCATGCAAAAAGACAAGTAAGTATTCCTGGAGCTAGAGAGTTGGCTCAATGGTTAAGGGCCCTGGCAGGTCAGGAGGACCCGGGTTCTGTTCCTAGCACCACTGTCTGTAATTCCAGCTCCAGGAGTTCTAACACCTTCACACAGACACACATGCAGGCAAAACACCAATGCACAGAGACAGAGGCAGGCAGATCTCCGTGAGTTCGAGGCCAGTTTGGTCTGCGTAGGACAGCCAGGGCTGTACCACAGAGAAGCATTCCTTATAAAAAACTAGCCACAAATAACCAGGTCTTCATTTGTGACTAATAAGCTTCCCTAATTTTTGTCCCCCCTCCCCCGACTCTAATTTAGAAGCAGAAAACAGGAGTCAATAGGCTCCTTTAAGGAATTCATTGCCCAGTGATTGCCCTGGCCTGGCCTCTATTATCTGGAACTCTCTTGGGTGTCTCAGACTCATCAGCAAAGGAGACCTGGCCCTGGCTGAGGCAGGCGTGGAGATGAAAACGCTTTGCCTGCTCTCCTCCTGAGCCTTCATTTACTCTCACTAAGTGAAACAGCTGGCTTCTCCAGTCAGGGCTTTAGAGTGGATCCCAGAGAATCCCAATGGGGGCCTGATTGGGGGATCTGAGACTTGTCCCCCTTCTTATATCCTGACTGGTAGTCTCAAGTGTACTATCATCACTTGCCTTTTGGTTTCTAACAACTAGCTCTCCAAAACTCATGGTAGATAAAATACTTCAAATTAGACTTTTAACCATCAACATACAACTTGAAATTCAGGGCTCTGATAAAACAGATTCTGAAATGCCAAGCTAGCTCAGAGCTAGGGAGGACTGAGAGAGTAGGGTGTACCCTACAATTGAGACAAGAAAGGAGGCTGTTAAATCTCTGGGTCTGGGACCAGACAGCCCCACTGCACTGCAGAATTCAGTGCCAAGACCTTAAGTATGCCATTCCAGACAAGCAGGCAATGGTCTGATGCTGGCAATGCATTTGGAAGAGCACCTGCTAACTAAAAGATGGGTCCGGGATTTTAGGAGGGGAAGCAGCAAGGCTCCTGCTGGATGCATAAAGCTATGATATGGAGCTAATTAGAAGTGTGTGCAGGCAGCGTAGAGGGCGCCTGGTAAGACTGGGCTGAGCCAACTCCTGATGCTGTCTTCAGGGTGGGTTACCTTGTGGTCTTGGATGTGAAGCTGGAGCAGGTCGCCTTGGCTGTCTGAAAGTGCAAAGGTACAATCAGTAAGAGGAAGACAGGGAGGGAAACAGGCTTTGGGGGTTACTAAGACACAGGTTCCCCAGGGAAGAAGCGGGCTTCAGAACAGATGGAATGGAGCTTCAGGAACAGCTAAGGTTAGACATGAGACAACCCACACCTTGCCATATACTTCTTGCTTGCATGGTTCACCAGAGAGGACCAGGCAATCAGACTCTTAAACGATGAAGGTCAGAAATAACCTGTTGTAGTTTCCTCTCTCTGTTGCCGCGGTATAGACACCCTGACCAAAAGCCACTTTGGGAGGAAAGGATTTATTTGACTTACACTCTTTCGTGTGACGATCTATCACTGAGGGCAGTCAGGACAGAAGCTCAAGCAGGGACCTGAGGCAGAAATGAGAAAGGATTGAATGAAGCACAGGCTCCTGTTTAACTAGTTTTCTTATGTAGCCTAGGACAACCTGTTAGGCGTGGTATTACCCACAATGGGTTGGGTCCTTCTGCATTAATTAATAATCACAACAATCTCCCTGGGACATACCCACAGGTTAAACTAGTCCAGGCTATCCCTCAGGTGAAGCTATCCTTCTCAGGTGACCCCAGGTTATGGCAAGCTGACAGTCAAAACTAACTGGGACGCATCTTCATTCCAGACACATTGTTTCTCTTGAGTATGCTGTGGTAGATATTGAAACAAAATAGTCCAATGAAACTAATTCCAGGGGACGAGTAGCAACAATTTGTTGCTAAGAAATAACTTCCCAGACTCAAACCAGTAAACAAGAGCTCCAGAGGACTAGAGGGAAATACTCAGCCCTTAAATGACACAACCTGCCAAAGTACCTCGAGGTTTGGTACATGCAGCCCTCAGATGGTCTCCTGTCTAGCA